GACCCATTAAGGAGCCATAATGTTGGAAAGTCCTACGAAAAAGCGAGCGAGAACTTGCTCAATCTCGTATCAACTGTTCTGGATCATCTTCAGAATGGTTAGGGAGGGGGTCTCACTGCAGCGGGGTCGTTATTGAAGACTTGCGTAGTCACTCTTGCGCAAAAGAATCCTTGTCTTGATCGTATTGCGGCGTCTAACTAAAAATAGCTTTTCTCTATGACGACCTGTGACGATCGCCTCTCTGGTAAAACAGTAAAAAAGCCTCGCATCAACCAACCTGAAGTCGAACATGATGATACGATGCTTTTTCGGGCGTTATGTGGTGAGCTTTATTCACCATATCTTCCTGGCAGTGGATACTGCAGTGAGTATAATACGAAAACCAGCGAGACAAACCAGAGGCTTTTCGCTTGCGCACGGTATTAGGTAAAAGACAGGGACCTTACCACTTTTGCGAGAACGAGCGCCCACATAGCATAAAAGGGTGGCTGCAGAAATTGAAGGAGTTAGCTTATGGAACCTTACCTTATCCACCGAGACCCCCCCCCTCCCCTGTCCACTCAATTAGCGATAATCCTCCGCATCTGCAAGTCTATTTTTTCCTGCTTTTAAAGGTTCATTTTACTCCTGTTGTACGGGCACTTGGATCGCATTTGTCTAGCCTATTGCGCTCTTGACACTAATGCGCTACTCATACGTGGCCTCCAGAAATAAGGCAAAACCAAAATTGTTTTGCTCGCAGGACCACCGTGAACCTTCTGCCATGAATTCTTTGGATTATGCCCACAACCTTTGTAAGCCTTCAGAACAGATACTGGACCAATGTTTCAGACATCATGATGGTTCTCATGACAGTCAATAGAGTACTTCATGCATATTTTTTCCTTAAGACTCTTAACCTCGCACGCGATCAACCTCGCACGCGATCAAGTTGTGGTGCCCTCACAAACCCTCAGATCCGCCATCATGATTTTCAGACAACTCGCATCTTTGACCGTGAGATTCTCAAGAAAATCCTGATGAGCATGAAGACCTTGGGGAGATCATGAATTATTTAAAAAAATAATTATCGCGCCTTAGGTGCCATAATTTGGTAATCGTTCCAAAATGGTGGTAGTTGCTGTATTGTGAAAAAATGTCGAAAAAGTGAAGTGAAACGGCCAAAAACCTGCGCTGTAAGCCTTCTTTCTACGAGACTCAGGGAGCAAGTTTGGACGAGTTTTCTGCTGGCATAGTTTCTGTAATCGCTAAGGTTTATAAGGTTCTGTACGGTACATGTACTCACTCATGTCCATGTAGCACCGCAGCCCGTTCATATCAACTCCTTCGCTTCATACCGTACTTGGCGAATGAAGCGAAACGAGCACCAGCATCGGTCGGACATTTGTGGGCGGGCGGGTGCAGTGAGCGTCAGGTTCGGTATGTTGTAGCTTGATAGCGCGCCATAAGGGTACCCTTCTTACAATGATGGTATCTCTTAAAAAGGTTCAGGTGCCTGCCTTGCTACAGGTGTTCGGAATTTCTCGTGCCTTCTAGCAAAACACGCTTGTGAAAGTGTAGGGTGTTCTCCACTAAAAAATAGTTATAATTATGGGTAACCGTGTTTTCGTGAATTCTCGCTTGGATAGAAGCAAAGTATCCTGAATCATACGTTTTCATAATAATGGCGTTGTCATCAGTGACAAGTAAATGTTTCAGGTGTGATTTCGCTATTCTCAGTAGCAAGCAATTCGTATGTGGACGAGCCGCAGACTGGAGGACGTTAGACTGTCTACCCTACCATTCCATTTACTTTTAAATATTATCTATTATTAGAATTATTATGATTCCAACAGTCTCAGTCGCTTGGAATGAGATTTTTAGAGCATTTTATCATCTGGAAAAATTGGTCAGGCATGGCATTCAACCTTTATCAGTTTCTATATATTTAATCAAACATAGTACAACAACGTAGTTTCCACTGCTCTTAGATGCCAGATCGCATACATTTTTCTTCAGTAACAAATTTTGATTGTATAATGAACTTTACAAAGGACTCTTATGGTTAGAGGTACAGTACACATCCAAGGACAGTAGGAGGCATGGCTGCGAAATTAAAAAGGCGGAGTCCCATGGTATGAGAGAAGGGAGCTGGCACGGGAATAGGGCGGAAGTCCCTCTCCCAACTCCCGATATAGAGGTTACACACAGATTCAGTATAATGGAGAACTATCCCAAGAATGCTGGTGTTGCGCAGCGGTCGCACCTTTCAATGTTGCCTTTCGGCAAACATGAGCTTCACCGCTACCTGATGAGAAAGCTTTGAAACGATTGGCACATAGGTAACGCATATGACTATTCCTCTCCGTACCTGTGTAGATGCCCGGTGCCATGGATGTTTATGAAGTAAAAAATCCCAACCTAAGCCGACTTAAGCATTGACTTGGTTGGGAAGAGGAGTAAGCCGTCCTGAGAGGCAGTTTTCCTTGTCCATGCACTTTACAAACTAATGAACTGCTTCTGGTGCTTCAGTATCTCGATAAAAGCTGGTGTCAAGACCGCTCAATTTCTGACACCTTCACTGTCAGATTTAATGCCCAGAATTCAACAAAAACTGAAAATTCAAAAAAACTAAGCGCGTTATCTTAAAGAAGAAAAATCCGCCGTCAGATCGAGATTGACAAAAAAAATTGCATCATTCACATGATTTTTTATTTTCGTTTTCTTTCGGGGTGCACCGACAATCTCAAAATCAGGCTCGTAATAGCCCTTACAATGGCCTGTGTACATTCCTTACCCCTGAAACAGAGTAGGCGTGGCTTTTCATCATGGCATAGGACAGGTTTCTTGTGGGATACTTCAATTCAAGCTGGCCGCCATTATCTTAAAATCGAGTACGCGGCCATCCTACCGATCTCGGGGATTCCGAGGATACATGCGCGGGATTTCATCTTACCGTGTGATACTCTTCTCTTCTGCGAGAAAAAGATCTTCCAAATGTCTGTAAACACTCCCATCAATCGACAAAATAGTATTGGCATCCACATAAATTCAGAGGGAAGGCCAGAGAAGTGACAGCTGAAGGTTAGATTCTTCCAGCTACTCTGTTATCGGAACGCTCTGAGCCTCGGCAGTGACTGCGTAAAACGTAGAGGAGAGACTGGCTCGAATAGAGGTCTACCAAAAGAACCTTACAATCCGAAAAAACAAGGAAGATGCGAATATAGGACGTGTTTCATGAGCAATCCTTCCACTCATCTTGGTCTCTACGACTTATTTTGAATATCCTACTATATATAATCCGCTAAGTATGTCTGTAAGTGTGGGTGTTTGTCTGTTTGTGTATGCGTCTGTCTGTCTGTCACGAAATTCATAGCTAGCGGCAGAAAAGATATGATGACAGTTTCAAGAAGTGATGTACATGGCAGGACGGGAACACTTGTGGTGGGTGACAGGAGGTGATATTACCTGATAAGATTCGATAAGGGGCCTTAGAAAGGAAGAGTGACCGAAATCGTAATGCAAGTTGCAGCAGTAGCGGGACCGTGATTTCAAGAAGTAATATGCACGGTAGGACGGGAACACTTTTGGTGGGTGACAGAAGCTGATAACATGTGAAATGCTTGATAAGGGGCCCTTAGAAAGGGAGGGTGACCAGATTAGTAGCGCAGGTAGCAGAGACCGTGGACCCTGATTTTAAGAAGTGGTATAGGGGGAGGATGGACATAACTGGGGGAGCAGGTGATAACACCTGATAAGATTCGATAAGGGGCCCTTAGACACGGAGGGTCACCAAATTCGTAACAACGGCTGCAGTGAATTGAGACCTTGGTTCCGAGATGGTATACCAGAGACCTTGATTCCGAGATGGTATACCTTGGTTTAATTACCCAAGTTTGAGCGAACAGGAATTTGCATTTTCGACTATGCGCTGACCGTGGGCGGCGGCCTATCTATTCGCTCTCGTGATATTCGCTATATTCAACATATTTGCACATATTTTCAACACTTGTTTACTACTATTGTCTAAGGCGTACACTTCTGTGGCGAGGAGTGACTATCGTTCGGATACGTTTGAATTTCGCCACCTTATCGGGTAGATCATCACCGCCGGTCTATCGATTGTTATTTTGTCATCCGCATCGACAGTATGATTTCTCCCTCCCGTTCCTCCTCTGTTCCAGTGAAGAGATCTCGCATTGGCGATTCACCGCAAGCAACCTCCAATGTGTTGGACAAGCTACAAGTTATCCGATCAAGCCGCGATATTCCGCCTTACATGCAGTTGATAATCGACTCTTGATCAATCGTCGTGAATTAGCAAATGTCAGCCGGAAATGCGATTCATATGAGGACGAGAATAGAAGATTGAGGGAGGAAAATTTGGCTTTAAAGTCTAAAATTGATGAATTAGTTTCCACTAAGTCAGCTTATTCTCATACTGGTGTTCAAGTTTCTCATAGCGTTCATTCTGTCAGTTCTGCTACTGATAATGTATGTGATCCTGATCTCAAGCGTTCCATTGTTATATCCGGTGTCCCTGAGAGTAGCTCTTCTAGATCAATGGAAGCTGTTAACCATGACTTATATTGCGCGCACACTTTGCTTGATTTTCTCGATGTTGCTTGTCTTCCCGTGTCCGTGTACCGTATGGGTAGAAAAGACCCTCGTAGGCCAAGACTCTTGAAGGTAGTTATACCCAGTAGTGGATTCCAAAAAGAAGTAATAAGGCGCGCTCCTCGCTTACGTTTCTTCTCCCATCAAGGCGTTTTTATACGCCCTTCTCTCACACTGGATGAGAGAAGATGCAGGCGAGAAGAGTGGCTTGCTCGTCGAAATCACTCTCAGGATGAAGGTTCTACTGTGCATAATGTTGATGACGCAGGGAGCCCACTAATCCTCCCCAACCAGGCGGCAAACCTCTGAGTTGTCCTAGGTTCTCCCAGGGCACTTTGACGCCTTGCCAACGCACGAATTTTTCTGGTAACTGTCCTCGAAGGAAATTCAGGATCAAGTGTATGTTGTCAAATGTTAGGTCCTTTGTTAAAAATAGTGACGCTGTCATTTCGCTGTTAATACGTGAGAGCTATGATTTGGTTTTTCTCTCGGAATCTTGGTTAACTCCTAATATTGAAGTATCTAGTTTGCTAGGTGTTGCTAACTCTCAGTACACTCATCTCAGATGTGATCCTACCAGAAGAAAAGGAGGGGGTGTCCTGATTCTCATTAGAAGCGCTATACCTCACAATATTGTCTTGAGTGAATCAGTACCCGAAGCTTATGAAATTATTGTTATTGATGCATACCTTAACCTTACCACTGTCAGATTCGTGTTAATCTACAGGACTCCATCTTGTAATGCCCTCAAGACCAATTTACTTCTTAAAGCTATAAGTGACTTCAGTTCTCATGATGGAGCAACTCTCGTACTAGGTGACTTTAACATGGCTGATGCTGCTTGTATCAAAGTGATGCAGGTAACTCTGTTTCTAAGGAGTTTGTCCAGACGCTGTACTCTCATGAGTTTGTCCAGCTAGTACATACCCCTACCCGAGGCAGCTCCATCCTTGACTTGGTCTTCTGTAATCGCCGCTTCCTAGTCTCAGGAGTCAATGTTCTACCACCCATTGGTACCAGTGACCATGCCTACTGTTCAGTTTCTACTTAACATTTATAAACCTGACCCACAAGTCGGCACTGGTTAGGGACTTCTCTCGAGTGGATTGGCGGGCTGTCGGAGATTACCTCGGAGGCGTCGACTGGATTGGTTCCTTTAATAGCGTTTGCTCAGTTAATGATAAGTACGAGTTATTCCTGTCCATTTTGAATGATGTCATCAACACTTTTGTCCCACTTTGTAAAGTCAAGCGGGGGTACAGATTCCTTCCCGGATATTTAGATCGAATGATTACTCGTTGCGCAGATCTCTGGGATTTAGCGGTCAAAGAAAACACAGAATCTGCTGGACTTCTTACAAACAGTTTACTCGAAAGATGGATAAGGCCCTTGCGAAATACTATGCAAGCGTTGAGAATAAAATAATCGCTTCAAAGTTCCCTCCAAACTCTATAATTATATAAATTCACTATTAAAAGCTAGAAACAAGTTACCTGCGCTGGTAGCTGATGAGTCCCACCTCGCGTCAGTGATAAAGATAAAGCTGAGCAATTGGCCGAGAAGTTTCAACTAGCACTTTCAAACCATCGCGAACAATCCATGGGAGACCTCACGCCACTTTGTCCTGCCATGGAACAAACAGTTTGTTTTCATCGGGAGGAGATATATGGTTCTTTCTGCTTGGCCCACCTCTCCTTCTATTACCCCTGACTTCATCCCTTTTAAGTTCATCAAAATGGTACTGAACCATCTACTCTATCCCCTTGAGCATCTCTTCAATTTGTCTTATTTGAGGGCAGAGGTACCAGATCGTTGGAAGCACTCTTTAATAACGCCGGTTCCCAAAAAAGCCCCATACAATCGCTGTGAGAATTACCGCCCAATTAGCATTACCTCCATTTTTGCTGGGGCTTTCGAGAAGATTTTGAAACGTCGGCTTATAGCTCATCTTGATGAGCACAGTATCATTTCTGGCTCTCAACATGGTTTTTATAAGGGACGGTCAGTTGAGACTGCTCTTCTAACTTCCCTCAATGACTGGACAAGCTTCTTAGACCAGAAGAAGCCTACTCATGTAGTTTACTTTGACTTTGCTAAGGCTTTTAACCGTGTTTCTATTCCACTTCTTATAAGTAAGTTGCGGTACGTTGGCCTGCACCCCAGAGCTATAAATTGGATAAGTTGCTTTTTGCAAAACCGTACGTACCAAGTCCGCATTGGCGATGCGTTATCCAATATTTTTTCGGCTGGCAGTGGTGTTCCTCAAGGTGGCGTCTTATCTCCACTGTTGTTTTCTATATTTACTTGTGAGCTACCTAGTTTAGTTTCTGGACACGGTGTCACTTGCTTGATGTATGCCGATGATGTCAAGATGTACAAGGTAATTGAGAGCTCAGAGGATAGTGATGCTCTCCAAGCTGCTATCAACTGTGTTAACTCTTGGTCCATTAGCTGGGGTCTTCCCCTATCCCACGATAAAACCAAAGTCTTCTGCGTTGGAAAAAGCAGTGATGTTGTAGATATAAGATATAAACTAGGCTCACTGGAACTCCAGACCACCACTCAAGTGCGCGACCTGGCCTTCAAGTTTGATAACAAGCTTTCCTTTGATAGTCATTATTCGGACATTGTGTCTAGAGCAGCACACAGGATCTTTAATCCGTTCAGGGAAGTGCGATCAAAGGATTCAAAGGCACTTATCAGGGCTTACAAAACATATGTTAGGCCGCTACTGGAGTCGGGCACAACTGTCTTCTCACCTTTCAAGAAAAAGGATATATGCTTACTCGAGGGTGTCCAAAATAGTTTTACACGAAGGTTGCCATGCGCTGCTCTGTTCTGCACTACGAATTTATTCCCAAAGAGCAGGACACTGGCTATATTATACTCGCTGCCCAATCTGCATGCCCGTAGAAAGATAAACGATCTCGTTATGGCATTTAAATCCTGACTGGTAGGGCTGCCGTCAGTTTCGAATCATTCTTTACGCGCACCCTTTCTAGAGCTAGGAGGCACGATGCTAAAATCAAGGTTCCGCTGGTGAAAACCCAAATCCGCTCCAAATTCTTTTCTGTAAGGGTAATAGCCTCTCTCAACAAACTTCTTACTCGTGACATCATGCTTCTACTTCTCTCTGAATTCCTTCAAGTTTGTTGCCAAAAAGTTGGTGAACCTTGAGGATTCGCGGGCTTCTCTCATATGATTCCTCTCGTGCTAGTTCACTACCTCATTATTATTATTTTTGATTCCTCCTCAATTTAGCTTTGCTCTGCTATGGTCACTGTTTTTTTTCTTCTGTTTGATTTGTACTGGTATACCAATCGTTGTTGTGGTTTTTTTTTCTCACGTGGGCTCTTGCCTGCGTCAATAAATAGAAATAGAAATACCAGCAGGGACGAGGTGGGTACCAGAATCTAATAACATATGATAAGATTCGATAATGAGCCTCAGATGCGGAGGGTCACCAAATTCGTAGGGCGGGTTGCAGGGTCTATGGGACCCGGTTTCAAGAAAAAAAAATGAAAAAGTAACTGCCACCGTTTGGCTTATTTAGCGCATTCTACCACGAAGGAGTGCCTGGCGAAGCCAGGTCATCCCGGCGAAGTCGGGCCGTGAAACAGAAGGAGGAGCACCCGGCGGCAGCCGGGTGATCCGACTGGTTTTGAATAAGAGCCTTAGAGGAACAACCTGACTTCTGCCAGTGAGATAGAATCAAGCTCGGGAGTGCTATAAAAATATCTGCTCAATATTACTGTGCGATTATTTCTCCTGTTACTACGCCTCGAGCCTTCATCACAATTCCGGAAAATTCTGAGCATTTTTTCTTCTCTGTCAGTCTGCCTAATGTGAGGGAACTTTCGAAACCAGGATTTAATTGTACAGTCTGGCTGGATGTGGTTTCAGAAATAGAACGTGAGCTTTCTTCAAAAACAATTTCTGTGGAATGAGTTTTGAAATACAATAAAGCTTCTGCGACGATACTGTCGGGCCTGAGGCACGATATTTTCAGCAGAACCAAATCCTTGCTTCAATTTTCCTTGTCGCAGCAGAGAGAAATGTAGTTTAGCAAGCGGTGGACCAACATGTGTGCCTGATGAAAACGCCAGGAGTGAGGTTTTCTTTTGTTTTTTTCGGCGGCACCTACTTTTTTCATTTTTTCGTTTTTTATCAATCACTTTCTTTGACAATAGTGCGCGATCCACCCTTTATTTGAACACTAAGAATGGTAATTCGGGGAGAATTCCAGTTTGAGGCAACAGCTATCTTGTCTACTATTGGACACTGGCATGATTGCAATTGTCTAAAAATGAGAATATCCCCCCAAAAGTGACTGCCGCTGTCACGTTTAACACGTCTTTAACACCGTGTCATGAATTTGTTTATCATTTTATTTATTTGTTCGCTTTGGATTTTCAGTGATGTCCTAAATGTGTCAAAACATGTTTCGGTGACGGAATGTTACATACCTCATAAACATTGAAGAGATTGAGGGGAGTTATGATGACTCTTGATGAAAAATGATGAAATGATGAGGAGATTGCGCACACTACGGCGGTTCGCATATGTTTAACTGGAGTACGTAGTCACACCTATACCTCAGGAATATGAACTATACATAAGACTAGTGAAAAAAGTGGGATTCTTCACGACAATGAGTTTTCTTTTCAGCATGTCCACCTAATGAGCAGTACAGTACTTGCGGCAATTGTGTGAACTGAGTTGTGACGACAAACTCAATCAGGTACGCAATACCTAAAAGCATCAATCTCGAGATGCTGCCTTTCTGGCCACAAGAGGCTTTCGTGGGAGAAACCGTAGGCGCAAATTACCCTTAACTTCCGCCAACAGCCACAAAAGCGTCTGATCGTGGCAAGTGAATAAACCAAATCGAAATGTGTACACTAACTATACTAACGTTTGAAAAAGTTCAGGAGGAAAAGGCTAGGATTTCGAGGCAGTACTCATTGAAAATTCATAATATTCAAAGTATCAAATGGGAACACATGTTTCTTGTTCATTCATGCCATACATTCACCTATCACTGGCTATAAGGGAGCGGAAAACGAGCCCAGTTCGGCGACAGGGAGGGCTTTCGTACTTTCCTGCTTCACTGGTTCCATTTCACAAGTCTATCTCTGGTTACATCGTAAACTCTCGTGATGGAGCAAGCTCAGTGGGCCATCATGGTAAAAACTGTCAACTCAAGATGAAGTCCTCTAGATGGGTGGGTACGTTCTTGGGAGTAGCAGAGGTAGAGTGACCGTCTAAGCCATTATGGCCTTCGTCTTAACATCAGGAAGACGGAATACTTGGGAACCGACCATAGCGAAGGCACGATCAAATTCAAAGGCTTACCGAAGACGATGTCTTTTAGTTACCTAGGGTCCCGCTTGCAGTGTACAAGAGGTGTCGATGATGAGATACGAATTAGAGTCAACGCGGCATGGATAAGGTGGAGAGAGATCACTAGCGTGCCATGTGATAAGCGCATGCCTCTTTGCCTAAAGTCAAAGATATACCAGGCCATGGCTCGACCCGTGGCCTGTACGGATCCAAATGCTGGCCAGCTACTGAAAGTGCTGAGCGCCAGCTCCACGCCATGGAAACGCGAATGCTGCGAATGTCAGTGGGCATTTAACGACTCGACAGAATCAGTAACGACGTGATTCGATGCCAGATGGGTGTCGCCCCAATCGCCGAGAAGATGCAAGAGAGGCGGCTTCAGTGGTATGGCCACGTTCTGCGAGCCGAGCGTGATATCATCGCTGCTGTTGCATATAGATTTGAAGTTGATGGTCAACGGCCGAGAGGAAGGCAAAACAGCGCTGACAGGACACCATAAATGCGGGCGCGAAAGTGGCCAACCTCCACAGAGAGGATGCACTAGATCGAGCAATGTGGCGATTGTCGATCAACGGACCCTGCACCAGCCGGACAAGGTTAGGAAGAAGAAGAAGAAAAAGAAGTTCTCGGAGGTAGCAGAAGGCGGTGACGTCCGCTCTCTACGTGGTGCCAGTGGAAACTGCCCGCTGAGCTGACCGCGGCCATTCAAAAGTAGGTGGTCGTAAGAGGCCTTCGTGACAGAACACTCATGTCACATCAACATGTTTGATCACTCCATATGTATTCCGAGATAGTACTATGGAGTCCGCGCGAGCCAGCGCGCACTCGCGAGGCCCGACCACTGTGGAAAGTATGCAAGGATCACTTTTGGACTAGCTTAACTGCCCCTCCCCCGATGCAAGGACGGCATCGGGGAGAGGCAGTTAAGCTAGTCCAAAAGTTTCGCAGTGTAGCGTGTAATGTCCGTATAGCAACCTTCAACGTTGGGACCTCAAGCGGACGTTCATGGGAACTCGTAAAAGCACTCTTGCGCAGACGGTTCTGCGGTTCAGGAAACAAGATGGTCCAGTTGCAAGCGGAGA